AAGGGGCCGGGCGGAAGAGCTGGGCCAACTGGAGCTGTTGCAGGGGGCTGAGGGGCTCGAGAGAGGCAAATCAAGCCAGCCAACACTGCAAGATTGTTAACCAAAAAACAACATGACCTTGTTCACGCTATCCACGCAGGACCTAAATATTTAGCAAAAAACAATCAACAACAACACTATTTTGTATGATTTTCAGATCCTGCGTGGATAGCGTGAACAGCGTGGATAGCAAAACTTCATCAAAATCATAGTTGTTCTTCAAAATCGAGGGGTGGAAAGGTTGGATACGGTGGGATTCAAGACAGCCAACACCACCAAATACTCAAACAAAATACATCAAAAGCATGGTAGTTGTTGTCCACGCTATCCACGCTATCCACGCAGGACCTAAATATTTAGCAAAAATCATCAAACAACCACTATTTTGTATGATTTTCAGGTTCTGCGTGGATAGCGTGAACAGCGTGAATAGCAAAACTCAATCAAAACCACATGTTTTCTTCAACATCGAAGGGGTGGAAAGGTGGGCTTTACGCCAGCAACAACACAAAAACTCAACAAATACACGTGAATGTTTACTCCATCATATCCACGCACGATCAAATGTGGAACCTGAAACGAAGTGAACGTGATCGTTCTTGCACGGAATTGTTTCCCTATTTTCAAACGAGTCACAGCAAACCATAATCATATTGCAGAAACAGGCATGACATGACTCATGACTCCACCCAATGACAGCCGATGAGAGAAAGCTTTCACTGAAAAAAATCTGCAAAGACGAATGCAATTTACCAGAACTGTTGCAACAATGTAAGCTCAGTGCTGTCTACAATGATACATTGGAGTCCTGTCCTGCTTCGGAAAGTTGGTGCAGCAAGTAGCAAGCCACTCACAAAAGTTCTCAACTGTGGGCTCAACATCCAGGTGTTTGTAGGGATCTTGAAGGGTTGTTGTCAGCACCTGTGCGATGTGGTCCTGCGAGAAACTGACATGTGGTAGGACCAGGATTTTGGCGTCCACTCAAAAATCTGAAGACTCAATGCAGTCAATGCAGCTTTAAACAGTCTGGAAAACAAGAAGAGACGGCCTAGAACAAAAAAAATGACAAAGATCTGCTCTTTTTCGGCTCCGGAATCAGCCAGCCACACTGGGCCTCTAGTTTGTTGATTCAGCCAGCTAGCTTCCCGCTGATTCGATTTTGTTGCATTGCAACATTCTGAATTGTTCAACGTGGAAATCACGTTTCCAACAGCCAGGCCTTTCAAGGCAAAGCGCCAAGCTGACTCCAACAGACCCAAGTGGAGTCCTGATCCTAAGTCGTCTAAACATGGGTCAGAGGAGGTCTACTCACTCTTCAGCCGCATTGGGAACAGATTCTTCAGCGAAGGGGGCGCTCCTGCGAAGTGCTGAAGGCCTCGCATAGGGTCCATCAGATTCTCTCTGATTGGAATGTTGCGCAGGCCGCCTTGGCCGGGGCGCTAGCGTCATCAAATGTTGGAATCGGTGTTCATAAAGGCTCTTGTTGCACATGGTCCACTTGGTATAGGACTTCTCGATCTCTGCCTGAGTGATCACCCCGCCTGAGCGAGCAAGGCAAAGAGCGTGGTCCAGCACAGAGCCTATTGTCTGATCCCCACTCCACATAACATTTCCAAACTGTTTGATCACGACCTCAGTCACAAACATGGCAGGTTGAAGCACAACCACAGGTTGATCCTCCGCTGGAGCTGCAACTTGCCCTTGTCCTTGGCCTGAAGCTACTGAATCTGGTGCGCTCTGCAGATCTCTGACTGCGGCTTGGAACACTGGATTCGGTTTTTTTCAACGACCTTGAAGACAATCTTCAGAAGGCATGTGGACATGAAGACATCCTCAAACAGCACATCAACCATAATCTCTCGAACGGTTTTGATCATGATCCATTCCTCCAAATGCTGGTGTTTGTAGACGATGTAAGCCAAATGCTGCTCCTCGACATACCTGATTGTTTTTGGATCAAATTCGGCAAGCCAAGCGCTTCAAAAGAAAAACCACAAAACTAAACAAATACAGAAAGGCCATGAAAGGCCGAGAGGCTCATGGTCCACATAGACGTAACGCGTTCTGCCATACTTCTGTCGCATGAATGTCATTGCCCAAGGATGGAAGCCATTTCCACCAACGCAGCTATCCCAAATGTCGCTAAATGCCACACACTGATTTCCACTGCACTGATGGAACGCAATCTGTGCTAGGTTCACATCAACCGCGGCAAGCTCATGCTTTGGGCACTGGTAGAAGAAGGCGTACTCCCACTGTTGTTGCTGGGTCGGGCAAGCCATCAAGGTCACACTTGCTGACCAACTGTGCACTAAAAGAGTCTTGAGTTTTTTGAGCAGTGCACTGCAAACCATCAGTGAATCTCAGCACAGAACATGGTTCAGAGCTGCAAGGCAATGAATCCAAGACCAAACACATCAACATCAACAGCAACACGTGACTACGACCATTGCAAAACATCAGTCCAGGGTGGCTTCCGTCATTGTGTCGGTCAGCTCTGCTCCCACAAAGTAGATCCGGTGACGATTCATTGGAAGACCGAAAGCTCGAGACCTAATAGCCCACTCCCCCACCCCCCCGAGAAAAAAAGAGAAAAGACAAAAATTAATCTCATCTCAAACCACGATTGACTTGACAATCAATGTTTTGGCAAGAGACGAAAGATGGACCACCCGAAGCCCATAGCCAGGAATTGTATTCAGACCATGAGTCTTGTCTTTGAGAATGTAGTCCAAAGGACACTGGCAAAGGGTGCAAAGTCATCAAGCAACAATGAACACTTGCCAATTGCTGCATTGCTGAAGTTCGATGACCGGTTTTGGTTTGTTTCATGTGTCTGCACAACAAAAAATAAAGGACTTTTGCACGGGCGTTGTGCTCCTGTTCATGCAAGTCAGCTATTCAGCAGATCACTGAACAGCTAGTGTGGCTTCGAGAATGCGAACAGCCCCATCTGGCATCGCTGACGTTTGCGATCATTCTCAGAACTCGATGTGCTACGCATCTGCTCTTGACGTAGCCACGTGAGGGACGGTTCAACAGATTCTTTGGACATCTGTGCCACGCCTAGTTTGCTCAGGCCAATTTCTTTGATTCATGCACTTGTTTCGGGTCCAAGGGACAGGACAAAGATAAAATGTTAAAGACTGCGCAGGCTGAGTCTGAGTAACATTCAATGTGAATAGACCGTGGAGGCTTGCGGCAGGAGAAATAATACTCAAAGCGGTCTTCACCCTTCCTGAATCTGCCAGAGTTTAGCGTAGACAAACAAATTTTAAGCCCAGGCAAACAAAACACTGAGATACTATCAAATCATATTAGATGATATGAATCAAATGTGCTTGCTTCCAAATGAGTATCGATATTGTACGACTGCAAGTGTAGCAAATCATAGACTTCTTTGCGGTTGTAAGGGCTGTGATGCCCAGTCTGTCAGAGAATCTGCTCAACTTGCGGGCAGGTGCTGGAACAGGGTCCTGACCACTCTGACTATGCTGCTCCACTTCGCTCTCGTGCTTCGATAGTGATTGAACAACTTGTTCAAGTTCCCACTGCGCTGCCGGTGTCAAGTTAGTCGGGTCGTTCTCCTGGAGGGATATCTTCTCTTCAACGGACAAACACGACAAGTCAGCTGATGCGGGCTCCGAGGATCCTGCTGACCTTAGTGAAAGCTCTGGATCAACAACATTTGGCCATTTATTAGATGTTTGTGTTTTTTGTTTGAAGCAGCCATCCCGGGCCATCCCCGATGTTTTAAACCAGTCAATGAAACCAGCTTTCAAACCAGCTTTGATTGTTTTGTTTACAGGAAACAACGAACCAGTCAATGAAACTCGAGCAGGATACGCTGGGACGCTAGAGGCATCCACCGCAGGTCGCTTCCGTGGTTTCTTGGCCGGGGCGGTCACCCCATCTGCAACAGGCAATTTGTTATTCTTCACCTTGCCAGTTGACTCCTTACGGGTCTGGGTGGGTTTCTTCATCTCTGTAAAGTGGAGGGCAAATCCAAGATCAACAGATCCACTTGGCTGTTGTTTCCTGGCTGGAGTATCTCTGCTCACCACCACGTCCGTTCCAATTACAAAGGAACGGACATCACAATCGTTTGGGTTGAGGTGATTCGGATTCTGCAATGATCCAACAGAGTCATAGTGATGCACAGAGATTCGAATCTCCAGCGGACGATCTGCAAGGCGCGCCACCGATGAGAAAACCTGCATTGTGGTGATCCCAACAAAATAGAGCGAACGTCCATACAGCGTCATACGGCATACGGCGGCAAATCTAAAAACAATAGAATGTGTTCAATTGACACACTGCTCGCCTCATGTGATGTTTCAAGAGCCCAATGTTTCCTTGGTGTTCCGTCAGTTCCCAAGATATCCTTATCGGCCGGAACCAGCGCCATCTTCCGCACCGAACATATCGTAATGCACTTCTCATCCATCATACCCATGATGTGCACCAGTGGCCTCTTAGAGCCACATCCCAACATGTACCAGGACTCTTTGGTGACAGATCTCTTGGCAGTGGAAGCAGAAGCAGAAGCATCGGAATCACTTGCATCGGACTTGGCACCCCAGGCTATCTTGAGCAAGCAAGCACAACCTGACAAGTGCAAGTTTTCAACAGCAATGTCCAGTTGTTGCACCAATTTGATAGTCAAGCCCCAGACTTCCTCGAATGCTGCACACAAATTATTGATTAAACATTCTTGTGGTCTTAAACTAACAAAAAAATGTGTAATGCATTCCGGCACCCCAAAAGGACACACAAATTCAAAAAAAATAAGCAAGTTCAGTCTGGTGTCTGCTGATCTGCAAACACCAGGATGTCGCTCGCAACATTCCTGGAACAATGCAGGAGCATCATCAGGATTAGGGACTTGCGTGTCCAAGTACTGAAAATGCGGCTCCAACCACTTCAACGCAGCTTCTGGGTCCACATTTGCGACAAGCTCGGGATCCAAAGCGCCCACATGTGACATCACCCCCACGCCATGTTTCCACAGAATGACTGGCCAGGGTGGCCAAAGAAGCATCAAGCCGCTTTTGCCCGACCCGCTTCAACTGCTGGGAAGACCTCAATGGGAGTTTAATATCCTTACCTTACCTACCTCAAGAAAATTCCTTGTATAATATATTTTAATTACAGCCGCCAAATTATGCAGCGCAGCATGAACACATGGAAACATAAATTTGATTAAACTGAGCGGCAACGTTTCTCCAGAAGATGCCACAACTGGGGCAGCAGTGCCAGAATCTTCAGACAACAATTTAGTGCCAGCTTTCTTGCGCAATTTGGTTTGGACCAAGGCCTTTTGCTCATAGAGCTGTCTCTCTTCCGATGTCATGAGCGACCACTCATTGCACACCTTTCTGTGATACTCTTTGTACTGATCAGAACCTATTTTCAACCCGATGCCTTTCATGCGTGATTGCTGGTATACGTTTTGCCCCGTGACCCTTCTGCTTGCCCGGGTTGTCTTGGTTGCAGCCCCCATTCCAATCTTCGACCTTGGACAAACATGGGGCGCAAGCAAGAACTTCAAGGAGGCTTGCGTATCACAAAAAGCCGATCAAATGAAAATAGAAAACATACGGATGATGAAGCTAGCTGCAACACTGACGACTTGCGGGCACGATCCCTGCATGTACGGCCTGGAGTAGTCTGTTTGGAGACACGTTCACGAAGCAGACGACCGGCCCGCTTCTTAACAGTGCCAAGACTTTCCTCAACAAAATAGTTCATTGACCGAAGCAAAAACTATTTGAAGTAGTGTGTTTTTGCCTTTATAATAAGGGTGGCATAGGTCAACAAAGAAGCAAAGACAATTAAGAATGAACTTTGTAAAAGTCTGTTTGTTCGATTGAGGCTCTGCTTCTGCAGCTTCTCTGATGCGATTGTGCTCCAAAGGGGCTCCCATAACGGAACTGTTTTGCTGCACTACCTGTGGATGTCGACCTGATTTGTTTGCGTGTGCGTTGCGCTGAGAACATGCGTGTAGCCTCTCGACATTCACGGAGGTGGCCGGAATGTGCAGCAGTGCATCCCGCATCAACTCACGCATCAAATCAATGCAGAACTCATTGACACGGCAAAAGTGCACAACATTTTGCACAAATGGGCTGCCTGTGCAACACTGTGGAGCAGAGGCCAAATCCGAAATGATCTGCGAACAGCTATCTTTATCGGTCTTTCGCAGGCCCAGTTGCAATACCTTAACCTTGTGTTGGCGGCCTGGAAGGATTAGGCGCCGAAAGGTATCGCACATCGTGCCAAAGACAGGTTCAAAGATGAACGCCTAGGTAGGCTAGGAGCAAACGTATCTTTTTTTCCGGTCCGTACTACACCCTGCAACATTTACAGAACGAAACAACAAAAAAATAAGAAAAGGCAAATGCCTCCAAAGCTGCAAAGGTAAGCCCGAAAGGCTTGAGCAACTCTGAGTCTGGATGCGCTTCTAGAATTTCACTGTAGTCCACCAACGCTTCATATCCCAAGGCGCCGGAAAGAATCTTGTAATTCCTTTTGTGGGCCCGGAAATTCAGACCACATAGAAAAATGGTTACAGACTAACAGAGTCATCAAAAGCGTCATCGTCCAATCACGTCAAAGTCTCGCTTGAATGATGTCATCTTCTGTGACATCGCCAGCCTTGCTTTTGGGAAGCGCCAAACCCCGGGTCCGCGGATACAATCGGTCCCGAAGGGTTTCCACGTAAGCGAGGCTCAAATTATAAGTATTCAGAGGGCCAGCCACCAACATTGCCAGCCCAACGGTTTCCTCAATCTGAAGTTTGGCGACACTGCCATTATAATGTTATGTTGTTCCTATCACACAAAAATACAATACCCTAGGTGTACACTTTAATTGAGCTGAACCAGGGTGCCAGAATAGATTCGCCAGTCAGAAAGGATAAAGTCTTGGAAATGCGCACTTCCTGACGGAGGGCAAAACTCAGGTCGGCATTGTCCTCATCCAACGTGTCTGCGACCACAGATTTTGATGTGGAGTTGCAGCAGCGCATTACCAGAAAAGATAGTATTGAGTGAAGAATTGTACCCACACCCACCTTATCTGATTGCAGGCTTTGCAATTTGTATTTTCCAAAGTACAAAAGGGGCCGGAAACAAATGAGGACAAGAAAAACTACAACCAATAAGTCGAAGAACATAATCCAGACACTCCTCCCACCCTTTCCATCTGTAAAGAAGCGGTACTTGGGGAAATCTCTGATACACGCGTCGCAGGAGTTCACGGGCTTTCTGGATGCAATGAGCTCGATCAGTGCAGCATCCATTGCAATAATGCAACCATGTGTTGTCAGATGCAAAAGGCGCTCGCCAGTCCGAGTTGAACATTGAGACAATCTCTTCAATCAGAGTCTGGTCGTGATTCAAATTGTGGCCCATCAATTCACACAGAATCTTATTTGCAGCCATAAAGCCCACACTGCTTTGAGGAATCTCGACTACAACCCGTCTGTCAACGCAGCTCGCCACGTGGTCTAGGCCCAAGTTGAAAATGTCCTGGAATTTAGTCGAGCGCATCGCTCGTGCAAGTCCTCACTTCGACAACAAAAGCCAAATCAATCAAAGGGCCTTGTGGGATTGTAGAAAATATGAAATCTTATTATATAATACCAAATTAATATAGATTAATTCAGAAACGATCGAAAATCATACTGCTCAAATGAACCAGCTTCTTACAAGAGCACTGCATAGATTCCCAATGCCCAAGAGCGAGGGCTTCTTTGCCAAGGAGCATTGATGCGCGAAACAATTTGTTTCATATTGAAACGTAGTTAGTGCGTTTCTGCATCCTTGTGCTCTTCGTTGCTTCCAACGCATGTGCTCATCTGCCTGCACCGTGTGGTTCGCTGGCAGTGCATCGGAGCCTTGGATTTGGAAAGTTGATGCGCAAACATTTCTCAAACCACAACATCACAATGTGAAAAAGTTTCCGTTGATGGGCCGGCCTAAGTCTAAGTCAAAGCAGAAAACATGTTAGTTCCTGAGCCCAAGTTGCACATCACTATGAGTTTCAGAGGGATCTCCTCCATTTGTGCCCAGAGTGCAGTTGAACCAAAAGGCTCCGCGCATCCTGCTGAACAGTACACGCACCATCTGCGCACACGGGATGCGATCGTGGCCCAGTTCGCCCGGGGAAGTAGCTGGCTAGGATTGTGCAGCTGAAGCACATGCATTGCGTCTGAGTCCTTCTCACGAACGAAAATGCACTGCAGCATCCCTAGGAGAGCCTGCATTTTCTTCATTCCCCTTTTGGTCCGTACCTCGCCAGTGCTGCTGTGCGACACAGTCGGGCTATTGACCCAAATGTTTGTGTCGTCTGCTACAATCGTTACCACGGCATGCTTGCACTTTGCAGAAGTGATGAAAGTCAAAAGACCATCCGTTTGGCTTCGTACATGGCTGAAAATCCCAACTGCTTTCTGGCGCGCCATTGATTGATGTGTTTGCGATTTGAAATCAAAGCAGTCAATGGCTCCTCCTGGTCCTCTAAATAGCGCAAGATTTTGTGAATGACTGATAGATGCAGCAGTGGCTGTGGCAAAAAAACTGCCAAACACGTTGCGAACCAGATCAAGATTGTCAGCGCTTAACTTCTCCACAACCTGCTCTGCTTTACCAAGAGAAGCCCGTAAAATTCCCAGAGAAACCTTTGCGCCATGCGTAGCTCCTGATGACCACTGTCGCCGAAAGCTAGGAGTTGACTGGTCTGTTGGTCTTGCCCGTGGAGCCACTGCTTGTGGCTCATTCTCCAGCAGTACATCCAATAGCAAGCTGCCAGCCATGGCAGTGTGTGATGGGACAAACAAGAAGCTGTGATCTGTGCTACAGACTGTAGTACTGTAGTAAGGTTCAAGTTAGGCTTTGCACATGGACACCTGGATAAAATGTGAAAAGTTTGGCTCGATGAAGAACTGCTTCCTTGATCACAAGGGGCTCTAACACTATGGCTTTCTTGGTAGGCACCCTCACTCTCAAAACCTGATTCAGAGCACTGCTGGATGTCTTCAACCGCCAAAAATACGTTCTTAGTGGTTGTGCCATGTCGTGCCTGAAACTCCTCTCCGTTATCAGCTGACATACTGGATTTCTTCGAGCAGCCAGTCACATTTTCCAAGATATATAGCCTTTCAGCAAAGGTTCCGGCTTTTGGGTTGGCAAAAAAAACACACATAAACTTG